AGGTGCATATATAGTTATGTCTTATTCTGTCAATTTGTGGGGTTGCCCTTTGGCCCCAGCGGCTGCTAACTATTATTGTGTGTATGAGCCCATATACAGTGGAACACCTGAAGTTGTAGGCATAGAGTCAAAAACCTTGCACTTTGGACCCCTCGCCCATTCCGCCTTCATGGAATCGGTTTGGCAGTCATTGATCTATTGTCAGTCGCGTCGCAGTGGGGCAGCAAAGTGAACAGCAAAGGTATATCACGAAGAGCGGTAAGCTGCCAAATGAGTTGCGGCCACTTGCTAAGGAATTGCCTTACCTTATATTAAAATGTACCTTGTTGACAGCGACGACTGCATTCGGCATCAGAGGCTATGACCAAAGACAATATAAGAATAAGATACATAACGCCACACGAATTTGGCAGGCTGGCTTTAGAGCTGGCTCCAGGCTCTCTTGAGCCTCTCTTTTTTTAGAGAGAGAGAGCGCTCTAGAGCCAGCCGCTCTCTTGTATGCATACAGCATACGAAGGCACACGAAGTTGGTTCTTTGCCGCTGCGACAGCCGAGCCGAGTCGTCGCGACGACTGTATGTGTGCACATGCATAAGTTTTTTTACAGCGCTTACCACCCCAATTTTAAAAAACTCTTATATTGTATATCCCTCAGTAGCTATTATATAGGCACTCAACTATAGGACAGTGTTGGGAATACAATACAGAGAAGGAATTTAAACAGAATAGTAAAAAAAGGTTTAAGGTCAACGAGATCCTTTTACAGGTAAATGCTTTGGAAAAAAACTACCTCTAAACTATCACATCAGATATAGTTCAAGGAGATGAAAACCCTGTTTGACAGTGTTTTCGAAGAGCCTGAGTGAGAGGAAGGATCAAAGGGTAGAACTCGTTTAGAGAGAGAGAGAGGGAGAATGCAAGGATTGATTTTGATTTGTCACAATTTTCAGGTAAAAAAAATCGATATTGATTTTACAGAATTTCCAGAGGAGAAAAGAACTTAGTTCACATTTTCACCGATAGTGAATTTTCAGGTAAAAAAAAATCGATATTGATTTTACAGAATTTCCAGAGGAGAAAATAACTTAGTTCACATATTCACCGATAGGTGGCGCCACCAAGTAGTAATGAAAAGGGACCTTCTACGTGTTGCGAGTAAATCCTAAATTCGCAACATGTTGCTTAAGGATGTGAAACATGATATTTGATTCAACAACCCTATTCTCAGCAACATGTGGTTTTCAAATAAATGGTTTCAGTTTCTGATATTTACCATGATCATGTTCAAATAAATATTTTTTCATATTGATTTGGGAATATATATGGTTTTAGTTTCTGATATTTACCATAATCATATCCTTTAAGAGTAGAGTTACCTATATTTATATATAGGAGGTGCAATCAATGAATAAAAGTATAAGATGAATGCAAAGAGAACTTATTAAAGTAAATATACGAAGAAGGTCCCTTTTCATTACTACTTGGTGGCGCCACCTATCGGTGAAAATGTGAACTAAGTTATTTTCTCCTCTGGAAATTCTGTAAAATCAATATCGATTTTTTATACCCGTACTCAAAAAAGAGTTAAGGGGTATATTAGATTTGTGGTAAAAGTGGATGTGTGCAACGCAGAGAAGGAAACGTTTCCGACCCCATAAAGTATATATATTCTTGATCAGCATCAATAGCCGAGTCTATATAGCCATGTCCGTCTGTCCGTCCGTCTGTCCGTCTGTCCGTCTTGATGAGCGCCTGGATCTCAGAGACTATAAGAGCTAGAGAAACCAAATTTGGTTTCCAGACTCATGTGATATCACACTGCTACAAGTGTATTTCAAAATTTCGCCCCGCCCCCTTCCGCCCACACAAAAGACGAAAATCTGTGGCAGGCACAGTTTTAAAGATACGATAAAACTAAAAACGCAGTATCGTTGAAAATGCCAATATCTACCAGATTGCCGAATCTGAATCAGATCGGATCATAATTATAGCCAGAAAGAAGAAATTAATTTTCAGTGGCTTCCCCTCCCCCTCCCGCAGAGACAACACAACTCATTTTCCTTCTCGCTCGCACACTCTGCCGCGTTCAGTGCGCGAGCAACCCCTAGCGGAGGAGATGTAGAATATGAATGGAACATGTACAATCTACATGTTAGATGTATAATAGACATTTTATATGTAGATGTAGATAGCATATGTAGCAAAAAAATGTAAAATGTAAAATTTTTTTTTTTTTTCTAAAGTTCTAAAAAATCATAAGCTCAAAAGTGTATGTACATATATACTGACTGAGTACGGGTATAAGTAGAGTCGTGTCCCCAGAAGCGACTCACACGTTCCTTCTCGTTTTTACCTGAAAATTCACTATCGGTGAAAATGTGAACTAAGTTCTTTTCTCCTCTGGAAATTCTGTAAAATCAATATCGATTTTTTTTACCTGAAAATTGTGACAAATCAAAATCAATCCTTACATTCTCCCTCTCTCTCTCTCTAAACGAGTTCTACCCTTTGATCCTTCCTCTCACTCAGGCTCTTCGAAAACACTGTCAAACAGGTTTTTCATCTCCTTGAACTATATCTGATGTGATAGTTTAGAGGTAGTTTTTTTCCAAAGCATTTACCTGTAAAAGGATCTCGTTGACCTTAAACCTTTTTTTACTATTCTGTTTAAATTCCTTCTCTGTATTGTATTCCCAACACTGTCCTATAGTTGAGTGCCTATATAATAGCTACTCACAGCTATAAGCTATTACAGAAACTAGTAAACTGTATACAAAGATGGATAACCTAGAGGTCATTTTTATTGAGTCGCAACCGGAGGAAACCATAAATCTGGATTCTCAGCCAGACTCCGTGGACCTGTCACTGATTTTTGGAATTAAAACCCAAAATTATCTCGAGAGGAATTGGGATCCTATTAATGAGATTAAATGGGATGATGATAGTGAGGATGATGACCTCATGATATCATCAAATACATTTTTGAGGAATATGTCGGTGAGGATTCCATGACTGAAACGCCATTCGTTTTGCCGGATGATGATCATATTTTCGATTTGGTCGATGATCAAGACTGCGGCGAAAGGGATCGACTCAGGGATCTACTTCGGGATGAAGATGACGCTGAGTTAATAGCGGCGTTGGAAAGAACTGAGGCTGGATTTAAATAAGGCGAGAAAGCATATGTATAATAAAAATATTCGATGTATTTTTCTAATCATAATATTATATACATACATACATAGGTATAATAAATAGAATACTACATTTAAGAAATTTATTTTCAATGTTTCCTTACTTCTGATTGGGTGAATTTCACTTCCTACTATTACATGTTACATCCCCCCAGAGAATCATAGGATTCGTTTGAAACAGGTTTTCCAAGCGAGGATTACACAAAAGAATAAGTGCATTTCAGGTATAGGTACCTGGTATTGAATGTATTTATTGGTTGAATTTCACATTCTATTATTACATAGTCAGCAGAAGAAATCGTTTTGAAACCGGTTTTAAACGAGTACTGAACCTGTTGAATACAAAAGACTGAGTAGGCGTTAGGCAGATAAATAGAACGCTTTTTATGAAAAACTCTTAGTTCTCTTCTAATAGTGAAAGTGATCAAACAAAATATAAAAATTTCAAAATGAATCCCGAAATCGCGTGCACTATGTGTTCAGAGTTTGTTAAATTAACAGAGTTCGCCTCTCACTACGACAGTTGCGTAGGACCGCGGATTCCGATTGAGTGCAATCTATGCTATAAATCCTTAGAGGGAACAGAGATCGACTCTCATTATGAGAGTTGCTTAGGTCCCCAGAAAAAAGTTGAGTGCGATCTATGTTTGAATTTCCTCGACTTAGCAGAGCTAGACTCTCATTATGAGGTATGTTCTGCTCAAAGAAATGCTTTCAACGTGCTAATGAGGAAATCTTCTTCGACAACTGACCTCCGAGAACAGTCAACTTCAAGATCTTCAAAACGGCCTAGAATGAATGCACCAGCGGAAAACATTGACTGTGCAATATGCGGTGAGAGTTACACTCCCTCGAAGGAAAAGCGCCATATTATGTCTGAAAAGCATAAGAATGCCGCTGCAGACCAAATACATAACAATCCTAATATTATCAACCTGGCATCAAACTCGAAATTTCCCATAAAATCATATCGGATTCAATCCAGTAAAAGTAATCGGATTGACTTAAAAGATTTTTATAATGATTGTAAAAATGATATAATCAATTTACTTAATTGTTGTTTGAGCGAGTACAGAGCCGTAAAGTTCAATTTAAAAGTATATGGTCTGTATGTCAAGCAAACTGATGATGAAACCTTGACAGAAACAATGAAGCATTTCATAACTTCATACAAACCCATATATGAGCAAGAGTTCATTGATGAACACTTAAATAACGCTCTGGAAAACCTTATAACTTTAAGCAGCGAATTCCAGGAGAAGGATTCAGGTTGGGCTATAAAAAATTTTAAATATTTTGAGTTAACAATAATTAAACTGGAACACATCCCTGCAAGGGGGTATATAGAAGCTCCTAAAAAAATTAAATCACGAAATGCTATCATCAATGTTAAAAATGTAGATGATTTTTGTTTCAAGTGGTGTATTTTAGCATCATTAGCATATAAAAGACATGCAGAAACTACATTTACAAGATCAGTTGAAAAAAGGTTGGCTCGAGACAAATTAGCAATCCCATCAAGCTATCGCATTTTAAACATAAACCAGGAAATAATTCATTATAACGGTTTTAGACTCGATTTTTCTGAGATTGAGTTTCCAATAACAAGCAAAGGAATAAAGCGATTCGAAAAAGCCAATGAGGATTTCAGCATCAATATATATGAAATTGATGATAATGGTAAAAACGTTGTGGGACCCACAGTGAGGACTAATAAAATTCGTCCTAATCATATAAACTTGCTAGGCATCAATAGTGATATGCAAATGATGCACTATGCCTATATAACGTGCATGAAGAAGTTATGCTATTCCCAACATAGTAAATCTCATAGTGCAGCATATTTTTGCGATAACTGTTTGCAATTTTATAGTACTACAAATACTATTCACGACACTAAGGAGTGTGGAAAAGTTGCGGCTCTATATCCAGAACCCAATACTAAAACCATATTTAAAAGTTGGTCGAAAAAACTTTCACCCCCAGTCGTAATTTATGCTGACATCGAGGCTGTTTTGGAAAATTTCCATAGAAATCTTAATGATCCCTCCAAATCATCGACTACTATGGCGCAGAGGCATACAGCATGTGCAGTTTCATTTTATGTTGCACATAAATACAATCCTCATCTAAATGAGATGTGGACATATGAAGGTAAATATTATAAAATAAATAAATAAATATAAATAAACTCTAAGCATTACGACTTCGTTATTTCAGGACCTGATTGTATTGAAAAATTCTGTCAAGTGCTTAGGGCTAAAACTGATGGCCTTTATGAGAAGTACTGGAAATCTAGTAAAAAGCCCATATATGAATTCAATATTTGGGATGAAGACTGTCAGGAACACGAAGCGTGCTGTGCCTGCGATGAGCAAATTTTGGTTGATGATCGTGAAAAATACTTCAATCAATTCACGGGCCAATATGTAGGGCCTATTCATAAGGTCTGTAAACAAACATTTAGATTAAGCGATCCCTTTTTCCCTGTAGTGTGTCACAACTTGTCTCGATATGACATCCACTTATTTGTAACATCGATAAGAGATGAATTGAAACCCATTCCTTGCAATAAAGAGTTATATATTGCGTTAACTCAAACTTGCAAGCTTGATTCACATCTTCATCAATATAAAATAAGATACATAGATTCAAATAGATTTTTAAATTCGAGCTTAGAAAAACTTGCTAGCTATATGGATGTATCCAATTTCAAAATATTGAACAGCAAATATCAAAACGAAAAATTTGACATGCTACGAAGAAAAGGAGTATTTCCCTATGACTATTTAGATAGTTTTCAAAAATTTGAGGAATCCCAGCTCCCTTCAAGGGAATATTTTTATAATTCTCTGAATGATGAGGAATGTAGCGTGGAAGATTATAACTTTGCTCAGAGCGTGTGGAGAATGTTTAACTGTACTAGTATTAGAGATTACTTAAAATTATACTTGGAAAGCGATGTTCTAATTCTTGCCGATGTATTCGAAAATTTTAGAACTCTTTGTTCACGAGTATACAGACTAGATCCCATTAATTATGTTACTGCTCCTTCAGTTTCATGGGATGCAATGCTTAAATACACAAAGATAGAATTGGAACTTATAAGTGATCCTGATATTTATAACTTTTTAAAAACTGCAGTCCGGGGAGGGTTGACTCAAATGTACCCAAAGGATCGCTACAGCAAATAACAAATACTTAAATGACAAATTCAAGTCTAGCGATCCTATAAACTACCTGACATATATTGACGCCAACAATTTATATGGATGGGCTATGAGTCAACCACTTCCATATTCCAATTTTAAATTTCTAAGTAATAATGAAATTTTATCTTTCAACGCTCTTAATATATCAGCCAGAGGTAATATAGGATACATATTAGAAGTAGATCTGAAATATCCTAAAAATGTTCATAATAAACATAATAGTTTACCATTCTGCCCCGAAAATAAAATTCCGCCAGGAGGAAAGCAGCCCAAATTAATAGCTGATTTATCAGATAAAAAGAATTATATAATACATTTAAAACAGCTGCAGTTATGTATAGAGCAAGGTATGATTGTAGAAAAAATATCTCGAATACTATCTTTTAAACAGTCCTGTTGGTTAAAGCCTTATATTGACCTAAATACAACACTAAGAAAATTAGCTGTAAATGAGTTTGAGATAAACTTTTTTAAATTAATGGTCAATGCCGTATACGGCAAAACGATGGAAAATGTAGAAAAGCGTCGTGAGGTTGCATTAGTCAAAAATTATGAATCCAGACAGAATTCCGCAGGGTTTAGACAACGCATAGCTAGACATAATTTTCACAGTGTTGAAGTCTTTGGAGATAATTTAGCTGCAATTGAATCAACTAAATCAAAAATTTATTATGATAAACCCATATACATTGGAGTTAGTGTATTAGAACTTTCAAAATGGTTAATGTACGACTATTTCTATAATTTCCATTCTGTAAAATGTCCATCATCAAAAATACTTTATATGGATACAGATTCATTTATTATATCATCAGAAGAAGATTTTTATGAACTAATTAAAGACAATCCTAGTCGCTTTGACAAATCAAACTATCAAACCTCAAACAGATTCGGTATACATCGTGCTAATAACAAGGAACTAGGTTTAATGAAAGACGAAAATGCAGGTCGGATAATGACCTCTTTTGCAGGATTAAAAGCAAAAGCATACTCATATTTAGTTGCAAAAGATGATAGCTCTGACTTTGATAACGTAAAAAAGGTTAAAGGAGTCAAAAAGTCAGTAGTGAAAAGATTATCGCATGATCATTATATTGAATGCATTAAACATAAAAAAACTTATTATGGTCAGCAGAGAGTTATTCGAAGTAGAGGTCATAAAATATATACTGAAATTGTAAATAAGATAAGTCTTAATTATAAGGATGACAAGAGATTTATATTGCCTGATAATATTTCAACATTAGCTCATAATCACTTTGAAATTCAAAATATTTTATATTCTAGTAATGATACACAAAATATTGTATAAGTAATCTGAATTGAATATATTTAGATTTAGTATAAAAATATGATAAGTAATTGTATATTTTGTATATATTTTGTATAACTTTTAATGAAAAATGTATGTATATAAAAAATAAAAAAAAACAACATCAAAAATTGTTTGATGTTTAATTATTTTAATAAATTCTTTTTATCTATCCATGAATTGTGTGTTTCATCAAACCCTAACCATTTAACAAAAACTTTATCATGTTTTCTTCGGATTATTTTTTCAACTAAGAAAGCATTTTCATCTTTCACTTTTTGGAGTTCTTGATAGTCCTCCAGTTCATATGTTACAGGATTGGTAGACTTGACTTTTAAAATTTTAAAAACTTCGGTTGTCCAGTTTGGTTCATATCCCTTCGTAAAAATACCTTTATATTGTAGTCTGGGCAGCAATCTCAGTGTGCTTTCTCGTCTCTGCCCGTTCCAAAACCCTCCTGGTTTCTTTTATTCTTCTCCTTTTCTCCTTCGTATTCTTTGCGCTCTCTTTACATTGAGAGTGTCTCTATATGTGTTGGTGCTGAGAACACGATTACAGTGGGCTTAATGGCTAGTATTAAATGTATGTACAGTGGTATTAGGGGATAGTACTGCTACAATTCGGCCTATCCTGACAGTGAGGATCTCCTGATTCTCTTTGCCATGTTTCTTGTTATTATGCTGCTCTCAGCCATTTTTCTAACATTTTTCTTTCTTACATTTTTTCTTTGCATTTCGCTTGCTATGATCTTATTCCTTGAATCAGTTACATCCTCTTCATTCTTATTTAAATTGCTTTCGTGTTCATTTACATTTTCATTTTCTAATTTAGTATTTACATTTTGTTCATTATTTACATCTTCTTCATCATCTAATTCATTATTTACATTTTCTTCATCATCTAATTCATTATTTACATTTTCTTCATCATTTAATTCATTGTTTACATTTTCTTCATCATCTAATTCATTATTTACATTTTCTTCATCATCTAATTCATTATTTACATTTTCTTCATCATCTAATTCATTATTTACATTTCTTCATCATTTAATTCATTATTTACATTTTCTTCATCATTTAATTCATTATTTACATTTTCTTCATCATTTAACTCATTGCTTACATTTTCTTCATCATTTAACTCTTTGTTTACATTTTGATCATAAACCCATGGTTTAATATTGTGGACAGCCCATATTCCTGAATAGGGGATTTGAGTTTGTTGGAATCCTTCTATATCTTGCACAACATACCTATCGTTATCTAAAACTTTTGAAATTCTATACGGTCCCTTGAACTTTGGAGCTAGTTTACTGGACGTTCCTGGTTGTGAGTTGAAATTTCTAATCATAATATAATCATCAATAGAATATAGTCTGGGTCTCTGTCGCTTTGTATCAACGTAACTTTTATTGTACTCTTGAACTTTCTGTTGAACTATTGCTGCTTTGCATCTTGTATACTCTAAGTCTCTTTGGTCGCTACTTTGATTTTCTTCGACTATGTTTTCTTTTAAACTATCTATACTATTGCCCTTTTGTAATACACCAAAGAGCATTACGCTCGGGTATTCGTCTATGCTTCTATTTTTTGTGTTATTCATTGCAAACTCCACTTTGTCCAAAACTTTATGCCATTGCTCATTTTTTTCTACGTCTCGAATCTTGGCAATCATTGGTCCTAAATCTCTATTAATTCTTTCCACTTGCCCGTTAGCTTGCGGAGACCCTGTTGCTATTTTTATGTGATTGATGTTCTGTGATTCTATGAATGATTGAAATTCGTGGGAGGTGAAGCAAGAGCCTCTGTCGGAAACTAGGTGCTTAGGGCGACTGTACGCTTTAAAATAATTTTGCAAAGCATCTATTGCTTCTTTTGAACTTGTTGTTTTTGTAGGATAAAGCCTTATGAATTTTGTGCAGGCATCTATAACCAATAGTATGTGCTTTTTCTTAGATTCACTACTCTTGATGGGACCATAGTGGTCAATGTGGATGACATTGAACGGCGTTGTACCTTTGGGTATTGAGTGTAGATATCCTTCTTTTTTTCCGGTTTTAGATGAAAAGGCTATACACTTCACACAATTCTTGATATGTACATCGACTTTTTTTCTTATTTGCGGAAACCAATAGCTTTTGTTTATTAAATCTGTTACTTTGTCAACACCTACATGTCCCATTTCATCGTGATACTTGTATAAAACACTTTCGATCATTGACTCTGGTACACAAAATAAGAGTCCTTCGTTGTGCTTTTTATAAATTACACCGTTGCGCATTTCATAATATTCATTTTCCCTTTCTAATAACATGTCTTTGACTTTTCTTAACTTTTCATCTCTACTTTGTGATATTATTAAATTATCTTCGAAAGTATTTGTTTCTAATATTAAAATATTATTGTTACGACTGAGTGCATCTACATGCTGCATCCTTTTTCCAGATCTGTGTTCGAGATCAAAATCATAATTTTGCAATTCGAGTGCCCATCTCGCTATACGAGGGTTTAGCTCTTTTTTATTTAACGTTAATGTTAATGAATTACAGTCGGTCACTATTTTGAATTTAATACCTTGTAGATAGACACGAAATCTTTTGAGTGCGTTTATGATCGCTAATGTTTCTAGCTCGAAGCTATGATATCTCGACTCGACATCTGTAGTTCTCTTGGAGAAGTAAAATATTGGATGGAATTTACTATCATTCTTTCTTTGAAGAAGAATGGCTCCATAACCTAAAGAGCTTGCATCACAGTGCAGCTCGGTTTCGTCGTGTGGATTATAAATTGCTAAAATCGGAGTTTCTATCAGCTTATTTTTTAGCGCTTGAAATGCTTCTATCTCTACTTCTCCAAACTCAAATTTTTTATCCTTTCTTGTTGCATCATATAATGGTTTTGCTATTAATGCGAAATCTTTGATGAACCTCCTAAAGTAAGAACATAGACCAATGAAGCTTTGAATTTCGTGCACTTTTTTGGGTACCGGGAAACTATTTATGGCGTCTATACCCGTCTCATTTGCACATATGCCATTTCCTGTTACTGTATACCCTAGATAGTTTACAGACGATTGCAAAAATTCGCATTTATCAAGTCGAAGATTTAAACTGTTGTCTACTACTCTTTTAAAAACTTCTTTAAGTATCTTAAAGTGGGTGTTGATATCTTCTGAAGCAATCATTATGTCATCTAAATAAATGATTACTCTACCATCTTTGACCATATCAGAAAAAATTTTATTTATGTATCTTTGAAACGTAGGAGATGCATTCTTTAGCCCAAATGGCATTCTTGTGTATTCAAATTGTCCTAAAGGCGTTGTAAACGAGGTGTATTTGATAGAATCCTCATGCATGAATACATGATGAAACCCATTTTTTAGATCTAGTTTGGAAAATAACTTCTTGTTCGCTAACCTTTCTAACAGATCATCTATCAGGGGGATTGGATAGTTGTCTTTTATAGTTACTTTGTTCAGCCTACGATAATCTACACATAATCTTAGCTCACCAGTCTTCTTTTTAATTAGAACTATTGGTGATACGAACTCTGATTCGCTGGGACGTATATAACCTAATTCTAGGTTTTCATCTAGAATTTTTTGTACTTCTGTTTTTTCCATGTATGATAATCTCCGTGGTGGACAATTGAATGGTTTATCACTC